GTGTGTGTGTGTGTGTGTGTGTGTGTGTGTGTGTGTGTGTGTGTGTGTGTGTGTGTGAGAGAGAGAGAGAGAGAGAGAGAGAGAGAGAGAGGAACAGAAGGGGGGGCGTTCAGTGGGGACCGGACAGCAGACACCGGACACCGGACACTGGCCTGTCTGGAACCCGGTCCGGACGTCCGGGCAGTTACCATGATGTGGGTGGATCTTTTTTTTTCGTTTTTTGTCTCTATTATCATTTTTTTTTGGTGCGATATGTACCATGTGGGTGGCCTTGTACGCAAGAGGTTACGAACAGGGCGGGTTATAAGGAAGAAGATAAAAAACTGTTTCTTCTTTGGTTATGTTAGAAGATATTTTTTGATTCTCTTGTCAGTGAATTCATTTACGTCGAAAATAGCTTGACTCATTGTCCTATCGTCCCCTTTTTTTTGTGTTGCTCATTCTTCCCTGTTGTTGGGGTGTTTTGTTTTGCGGGCCTACTTTATGGTTCCGTTTTTTTTTACTATGGATATGGTAGATTTGTTGTGGTGTGGCAACCTTGTCTGCATCCCTGTTGGTTTTGTCCCGTTGTTCGGTCTATTTCACGAGCGTAGCAGTGCTTCATGTGGGACCAGTCATTCAGTTTTTTTTTATTGTCTTGGCATCCTGGTTGGTTGTTTCCCATTGTCTGGCCTGCATGGGGGCGGTGCTTTTATGTGGGAATCGTCATGCGGGATTGCGTTTTATACCCGTCCTCCGGGTTCTTTTTGGTATCCTAGTTGGTTGCTTCCCGTTGTTCGACCTATTAATGGGGGCGGTGCTTTTATGTGGGAATCATCATCTAGGATTGTGTTTTATGATGTCCCGGTACGAATTGCTTACGATGACGCCGAATAGGAATGTCGAACAAGGCCATCTGCTGTGTATAGATATGTATTTGGGACTTCTGTTGATTTCTTTGCAGACAAGAATGTTTTGACATCCTGGTTGGTCTTGTCCTGTCGTTTGGCCTTTGAATGTTGGGGCGGTGCTTGCATGTGGGACTTGTCATCTGGGATCTGTTTTGTTGCCCCCTGTTCTGTTTTATTTGGCTGTTCCCTTCCTCTTTTCTTTGCCTCTTTTCCATTTGGCTGTGTGCAAGTGGGCCGATATGACACACGGGGGTGAGGGCAGCCGCCGCTCAACCTACATCCACGTGGGCGGCCTTGTACGCAAGAGGTTCTGAACAGGGGGAGTTATAAGGAAGAAGATAAAAAACTGAATTCATTTTTTCCTGTTTTCTTTCTTTTTTCCTTTTTGTTCTTTTTGTTCGCATTTGGGCTCTGATACTCTTGTGACAAGATATAGGAGGGAAAGGGACAGAGAGAGAGAGAGAGAGAAAAGAGAGAGAGAAGAGAGAGAGAG